TGTGGAGGAATTGTTCTGCCGAGTGAACTGTCATCTGCGAGCCCGCCGCGAGGAACTTCAGCTTCGGAAATAAGCGATTCGCAAGTCCGTATGTAAGCGTGACTCAGAGTGAGATGATTGTTCGTAGGGGGACGTCTGGTTTGTGTACTTTGGGGCGGCCGTAGAATCGTGCCATAGCTGTTTTGGTGGAGTTTCGTTATATACCAGTCCTTAGCGGTAAGGAACCTTTATTTTTCAAATTCTGCTCACCGTTGCCAGCAGTGGCTTTAGGCTGGTGGCGTCGTTGACCCTGTAAAACTCTTGACCACTGAGGAGCGTTTGCATTTTGTTTTGGTAGTCAACCTTGTCGAGGACAACCATCGACGGGCCTTTGTCAGCGAACAAAGTACCTGTTTGGGCGTCTGTTTTGAACTCCTTTAGTGTATTTAATTCATCACTTAGCAGCCAATGGGTTTTTCAGCACAACATGAATAGAGGGGTGACCCGGTGTCGAAGGAGGTTCGTTCCCTCGTCCCTTACGTCAGCTTGGCTAAGCGCCGATTCGAAGGACACAATGAAGGATCGGTGTCGGTTGTTTTAAAACTGCATCTACCTTGCAGAACGTTTGTTTGAACCTCGATTAGTCGTTCTAGCGAGAGGTTTTATACTGGCGTTTTCTTGGTCTTCGGATATTGCTCATGCTACAGTGCCCTGAGTTTTACGATATTGGAAGTTTACACACACGCAAAAGGAGCCAGAATGTCCACTCTCTATGTAGATGAGTGAACGACACAGACGTCCGAAATGTCACAGCTCCAATAGACCTCTTCTGGTGGACATTCTTCCTTCTTTTGCCTTACCATCATGGAATCGCATTTTCAGTACCAATACTGTTCTGAGATTGATCTGCGTAAAATGTCATATTCTCTTAGATGGCGTCCAACTCCTGTTTATCTTCAGGGCCGGGATTGAAGGTCGTGAGGGAGAAGAATGTTTCTGTGCCAGTAGTGCAAGACCTTATTCTGCTCAGTGAACATAGCACGTGCGTGACTATCTAAATTTGGAATCGAAGCCGGCAAGAATGTCGACTAGGCAAGACAGTCTGCAGCCGTCCGTGATCAGCATCTCTGCGTTGACTCATCATGCCTCCGCCCGTCAAGCCTTTGCAAACTCGCGCCTGACAACCTTCCCCTCCCGCGCTCTCCGGTCCACCGCACGCCCCTTTTTCGATCCGTTATGAAAGGCGCCCACGTTGTCCATCTCACGGTCGGGTCGCTGTCGTGTGTCTTGACCTTAGTCACACAAAATTCGAAGCCGATCAGTGTTCGCCGCTTCCTGATTGGCTGGAGGCAACAAAGGACAGGTCACGGGATTCCTGAATCCTGAATCAGACACACACAACAACCGGCGTGAGCCCTGTTGAGCCTTCTGTAAGCCCCTCCTCAGGACACATACTGTCCAGCCTTATCCGTCTTCCCTGACTTCTGACTTGGGGAACCCTCTGTTGTCGACTTCATCAACTTTTGAT